GGTGGGGGATGGTGGAGAGATGTGAGTTCAGACGATTGGGGAATCGAGAAAGGGAAATGGGGGATCTTAAAAGGGGAAGGGGCAATGAGGAATGAAAATCGAGAAAGCGAAATGCGAAAGTGAGGAATGCAAAAAGCAGAGGAGGGAAGTGGGTAAGGGGACAGGGGAAGATGAAAGGGGGAAGGAGAAAAGGGGCAGGGAAAAAGGGGATGGGGAAAGGGGGAATAACGAGGAGGGAATAACGAGGAGGGAATACTTGGCATGGGATGGGATGGGATGATATGGGATGGGATGGCATGGCGTGGCCTGGACTGGAATGGCATGTCATGGGATGATGGCATACCGAACAGCATTGGTGCCTGATGCTCTTGTTGCTGTCATCCCGCCTGCACTCGTGCGCACTCACACACATGTAAGGCACATACGGGGGAGGGCACATACAGGGGGAGGCACACGCGAGGGGAGCACACACGGGGGGAGGCACACAGGCACACACGGGGGGAGGCACAGAGGCACACACGGGCATGATGCAAGCAAGGTACACAAACTGAGTTGCAGGGAGGTCTCACAAACTAAGTGCCATCATCTGAGTTACATGATGGCCACAACTACAAGGCGTGGCATGCTGTTATGTCGAGCCTACCATGCACCTATGGTGCATTCCGAGCCTACCACGCACCCATGGTGCATTCCGAGCCTACCACGCACCTATGGTGCATTCCGAGCCTACCACGCACCTATGGTGCATTCCGAGCCTACCACGCACCTATGGTGCATTCCGAGCCTGCCACTCACCTATGGTGCATCCCGAGCCTACCATGCGCCTATGGTGCATTCCGGGCCTGCCACGCACCTATGGTGCATTCCGAGCCTACCATGCACCTATGGTGCATTCCGAGCCTACCATGCACCTATGGTGCATTCCGAGCCTGCCACTCACCAATGGTGCACTCAGAGCCTGGGTCAACGGGGAAGAAGAGGCCCGAGTCATGCAGATGGTGGTTCAGCTGCTGACGTGTCACCCCTGCCTGTACTCTGCAGTCCATGTCCTCTGCATGCACCTCCACCACCTGAAGACAAGAACGCAAAAGGACACGCAATGCAACCCAGGGTGCACGAACTCAAGTGCCTGAAGATTTGACTGGGATGTCATCCCTGCCTGAGAAATGGACCCGTGTGTCAACTTTCCCTGCACACTGGAGCCCATCTCCTCTGCATGCGCCTCACAAGTTACCTGGTAACCGCACCGTACCTCGTTCATCTGCGACAGGTCAATGGAGACTCCCCCACAGAGCGCTGCTACATGGCCTTCCAGAGATGTACCGGCGCCATAGGGAATGATGGGCACGCGGGCGGCAGCGCATGCGGTTACCAGCTGTTGCACTTGGTGAGTGGAGCGTGCGAATGCAACCGCGTCTGGTGGGACGGCCTCGTGGTATGACTCGTCCCTGCCGTGCTGCTCCAACACCTGTTCACATGGCAACATGCATAGGGAATGACGGGCATGCACGCGGGAACACATGCGGTTACCAGCTGTTACACGCGGCGCATCTGGTGGCACAGGCTCGTGGTACGACTCGTCCCTGCCATGCTGCTCCAACACCTGTTCACATGCCAGCGTGTCAGTATCCCAGCATATCAACAACATACGTGATGATGATGCCTAATGTCATGGCATCATCTCACCATGCTAAGCCACCATACCATCATGCCGCCATTCACGCAACCCACGTACATTCCATCATTTAAGCATCCCAGGTGCGTGCATTCTAAATATTCCCACGTATTTTCCCATGATTCAAGCATCGCACGTATTTTCCCGCTATTCAAGCACCCCACGTATATTCCCATTGTTGTAGGCATCCCACGATTATTCCCATTATTCAAGCGTTCCGCGTTCACTCCCATTAAGCATTCCACGTAAAATCCAATTATAAAAACATCCCAGGTTTATTCCCAATATCCAAGCATTCCACGTAAATTCCCATCATTCAAGCATCCTCCGTATGCTCCCAATCCCACCGTTCGGTTCGTCGTCACGTTTGCGTCGCCCACGATGGATCGCAGGCGACGCAGGAATTCGCCGTCCACTCGCCCGTACGACGTCCGTCGCACAGCAGGAACGTCGCAGAGGCTCCACTTCACGGGGTTGTCGCCAGGGTTGATATTTTTGCATCGCCTGGTAGTCGCAGGAGACGCGTCGGTTTCCGGAGAATCTGCTACCCCTGTCGACGTCCGTCTTTGTTCGTCTGTTGCCGCTTCCGGGTCGCGACTCCTGTTCGCGACGTCGCTACTACTACTGTAACACTGTTTCGCATCGTGACCGTAACGCCTTCGCCAACTCGCAACGGCGTCGCTATCGTCGCCCTCCCCAGCAGCACACGGGCCGTAACGGTTTCGGCGACTCCTCCTAGGGTCAAGGTCGTAACTGCACAATAGCGATTCCCGCTGGTCGATTCCAAGAGAACCGTCGGAAACGAAGGAGCTCGCCGATTTCTCCAGAAAAGAAGGACCCGACGACGGCGGAGGTTGAATGTGCGCGCGACGCGCTACGGGAGGAGATTGATGGTTAGTGGTAGTGAGGCTGGAATCAACAAAGAACGCGGCGATGCTCATGCCGGCGCGTTGCAAGAACCGCGGCGAAGCGCAACGAGCAGAACATGGGATCATGATAACGGCTACTAGGTGCGAAGAGCTCGGCGGGAAGAGAGTTGTCCTGACACACTAGTGCGGCAGGCTGACGCGGTGGGCTAGAAATGCCAGGGAATCTGGGATCTTCCATCAGAGTCTCGATGTGAGTGCCTTGGAGGTGCCGAAACATGCTCTCTATTGAATGAGAGGTTTCGGATTGTAGTTGGTATTCGAGTGCACTGTAACGGGTACTTCAAGTATTTTAGTCTGTGATAAACGTAAACGAGTGCACTCGCATTGCCGAATTTGCGATTTGATGTTGACGAGCCTGATTTTAGTGAATTGAACCAACGTGGTTCGTGTGGGGGCGAGGATCTTTTTGATTGGCTTAGCTTTGCGTGTTTCGCGCGTTGGACCGTGGCTTGGCCTTTGCGTGCTTCGCGGGTTGCACTTGGTTTTGATTTGGCTCAGCAGACGTGGACGGCGCTCCTAGCAAGCAACCTAACGTCACACCCCGGGGTGTGGGTAGACTTGGGGGATCGAGTGTCACCTGGACTGTTGTCGTAACTTGGAAATTAACCGTTTTACACGACACTAGCTGCCAAGACAAGTCAGCCATTCGAGATTAGCATAAATGCCCTTCGCCATTATCACAATCACCATCCGATGAAAATACAGCTTGCAGATCCGGAGAAAGACAACATGTGGGTTGCTGAAGATAGGGTTTCGGGTTTAGGGCAGCAGCACCAGCGGTATCTTCACCACCCGGGTGTACTTTTCCGCGGTCAAGTTAGTTTATGAAGGTAGTTTCGGGTCACTAAGTGCCAGTTTATGAGACTGAAATGCACCCTCACTGTATACTGTTAGGCTCGGAGTCTCAGGGTGCCCTTCTAATAACCCGAAAACGCACAAAGGGTGCCTGGAAGAAAAATGTTCGCGCGGTGAATTTACCGCGGGCTAAACTCAAGGTAATGTGCGGATCCGTAGAGTATCATTTGTACTGTATCGAAACTTTGACCGTCCCTGGGACGGGAAGGCAAAGCACTGTACAGGATCGAACTGGAAGGAGAGAAGCCACCGCACATTTGATTCGAAACCCTGATGCGTGCCCGTGACGGGGAAGACAAAGAACGGATTCAACCGACAGGATTGGCAGACCACTTGGGCTTGTCGCACCAGTCATTCCACCACCCCTCCCCCCAAAAGCTGAGAACACTGTAAACCAAAAGCACAAAACCCATTTTGGGTTGAGAAACAGAAGTTGAAATTGTGCTATGCAGCAACCCATCAATTCTTTCCAGCTTGTCCACCTGGAGTTGCACAAAAGTCCGAGTTTTGTTAATACTACTAGTAGGCGACTCATAGTCATTACGATATCCAGCTCGAGCCACAGGGTACACCGTGACTGCGAGCCGCTCCCTGTGGTGGCAACAGTCGGCGAATTACCACTGGTAGTGGCGCCTCAACGGAGACTGCATTGCTTCAACTTGCAACGGAGGCTTCATTCTCGATCCCACCCAATTTTTAGACGCTAAAATCCAAGAATACTTTCAATACTACTAGTAGCAGTATTACTAGTAGAAGCCGCATCAGTACTAGTAGGTACTTCCGTTTTCCGGGAGAGCTCCTGAAATATAGGTGGGATAACCAGGGACTCCTAGCAGATGCAACAGTTGTAGATGCAGCAACAGCAGATGCAACCAGAGCAGATGCCAGAGCAGCAGGTGACACGGCAGCAGATGCCACAGCAGCAGATGATGCTGCAGCAGAGATTACAGCAGCAGGCTCAACAGCAGCAACAGATGTCACAGCAACAGATGTCACAGCAACAGATGTCACAGCAACAGATGTCACAGCAACAGATGTCACAGCAACAGATGTCACAGCAACAGATGTCACAGCAACAGATGTCACAGCAACAGATGTCACAGCAACAGATGTCACAGCAACAGATGTCACAGCAACAGATGTCACAGCAACAGATGCCACAGCAACAGATGCCACAGCAACAGATGCCACAGCAACAGATGCCACAGCAGCAGATGCCACAGCAGCAGATGCCACAGCAGCAGATGCCACAGCAGCAGATGCCACAGCAGCAGATGCCACAACAGCTTGCACCACGGTCCCATGCATCCCTGCTTCAACAGTCACAACAACTACAGCCACAACCACAGGCACAGCCACAGCTACAGGCTCAGCCACAGTCACAGCTACAGGCTCAGTCAGAACAGCTACCACCACACCGGATCCAGCAGCTCTCCTCGCAGCTACAGCCACTGCTACAGCCGCACTTGTCACAAGCATCGGAACAAGGTGAGGCTGCCACTGATGCAGGGGCATTAAGGCGTGAAGCCAGACGCACCAGAATGACACGAAGCAAAAACTACAACCATCCGGGGCGGTACAGGGGAGTGAGGAAGCGAGGGGAATTTCGGTACATTGCAGAGATTAAAGACACCAAAAGTGGGGTCCGCAGGTGGTTAGGCACGTTCCCTTCTGCAGAGGACGCTGCTAGGGCGTTTGATGAAGCTGCTATGAAAATCCGAGGAGCAAAGGCGAAGCTTAACTTCCCTGAAAGGTATTTTCTAAAAGGGGAAGGGGTGGTAGTACCGGGCTCGGATCCTGCAGCCTCATCGGGTGCAGAGACTAAAATGGAAACAGAAGGAGAGGTTGCAGGGCAGGATGGTGGAGAGGCTGGCATGGGAGTGCAAACAGGTGGGGTGGTAACGCAGGTTAGGGAGGATAGTAGTATCAGGAGCTGCGTAGGGAAAGGGAAGGAGGTACTAGGATATGGTGATTATACTGCAGCCGGGGGACTGGTGGGAGAAGGTGTGGTTCAGACGATGCTGAGAGAGGGAAGATCTGGGGAAGTAACTGCAGCCTTTGCGGTGCCTCACAGGCTGTTCGGAGAGGGATCAAGTAGTGCAGTGGCGGTGCGCCTCGGAGGCAGTTTGGAGAGGGAACAAGTAGGGCTGTGACAGAATCAATAGGCGATGCAGGTGCAGGTGCTCCGGTAGGAGGGGAAGGCGGAGGAGGAGGAGGAGGAGGAGGAGGAGGAGGAGGAGGAGGAGGAGGAGGAGGAGGAGGAGGAGGAGGAGGAGGAGGAGGAGGAGGAGGAGGAGGAGGGGGAGGAGGAGGAGGAGGAGGAGGAGGAAGAGGAAGAGGAAGGGTACGAGGAACAGGACGTGGAAGGGCAGGAGGAGGAGGAGGAGGAAGAGGAGGAAGAGGAGGAGGAGGAGGAGGAGGAGGAGGAGGAGGAGGAGGAAGAGGGGGAGGAGGAGGAGGGGGAGGAAGAGGAGTGATAGGATTAGCGGGAGAAACATCAGCAGGTAATGATAGTGGGAGCAAAGCAGGAGGAGTATTTATTCCCGAAAGAAGCTCCACTGTAAGCGGTAGTAGCTCGAGCTTAGCTGCTCCTTCCTCCTCATCCGCCCCGTCCATCTCTGCTAATTCCGCCTCTGCCTCCTCCGCCTCTGTCGCTGCCCTCCCATCCACCTTTGTTGATATTCCAATCCCTGAAGCTGCGCTCACTGCGCTCACTGCGCTCACTAGCGGCGTTCATATCCGTGCCACTCTCCCCGCTCACACCTCAGAATGCAACCCTATGTTGATTGGTGGTACCATGAATCGCCACTCAGTCCCTCCGGAGGAGCTGCCAAATCCTATAGTGATACCTGAATCGGATCTTAACAGGGTTGAGGAGATGGGGTTTGAGGAGATGGGGTTTGAGGAGATGGGGTTTGAGGGGGTGGGGTTTGAGGGGGTGGCAGAAGGTGAGAGGGAGTGGACCTCCGAGCTTGCGGAGCAGTTTGCTCAGCAGCTGGGGGGGATTGAAGAAACCAATTGGGATGGAGGGAGTGGTGTTGGTGCTGGAAAGGGCAAGGAGGCAGTGGAAGATAGGGAGATGTCTCTGGGGGAAGAAAGGGAGATGTCTCTGGGGGAAGAGAGGGAGATGTCTCTGGGGGAAGAAAGCAGTGGAAGTAGAGAGTCTGATGGTGGGGAAGGGGCGATGGAGGAGGAGGGTGCGGCGAGGGCGGGCACGGGAATAGATGAGCGTTTGGCTGGCCTTGTTCCTAGTGACGATGAGGTGGCAACGGTGATGGGAATGCAAGTTAGCCAACAGATTTTGCCAGTTCAAGCAGTCAATTCTGCAGCATTCGGACCATCCTGCCAATGGCATCAGGCAGGCCAACAGGGTCAACAGGGTCAACAGGGTCAGCAGGGTCAACAGGGTCAGCAGGGTCAACGGGTTCAACTGGGACGAAGAACAGGTGTGGTGGAAGGTGTGTCAGCAGCAGGCCCATCCAGCCATCCAGGCATGGAGCAGACTGTAACTCCAGCAGGCCTCCCAGCACTTGCAGCATGGGAGCATGGTTGGGCAGCAGGGCAGCACGTAAGGACAGGGGAACATGAGTTGGCAGCAGGGCAACGTGTGCTGGCTTGGGAGCAAACAGCAGGAATGCCAGTCCCAGCACACTTGGCTACGCAGGCAACGAATGAACCACCAGCGGTTTCGTGGAGTTTCATTGTGGAAGTGGCCGGGAGGGTGATGACGCACAGTGGGCAATATTCACTGCAAGAAGCAGAGGAGGCAGAGGAGGCAGGGGAGGCAGAGGAGGCAGTGGAGGTAAACAACGGCATGGCTGCCTCAGCTCCGGGCATGCTTCCAAGCTGGCATGATGAAATGATGCAGCATGCGCCTGCCGTGATGTCTCCGTTTGGGCCGCTTCAGAGGAATGATTATGGTATGCGGTATGCTTTTACCATGTCCCGCAGATCTTCAGTTGTTGTGATTCCACACGTGCCTCGGCATCAACAGAGCCCCCAACAGCAGCAGCATGGGCTGGGGCAGCAGCAGCAGCAGCAGCAGCGCCATCAGAAGCAGCTGCAACAGGAACAGGAGCAACAGCAGGGGCAAGAGAGTGGGGAGCAACAGTGGCGGAAGCAGGGTCGGCAGAAACAGCAGCAGCAGGAACAGGAGCAACAGCAGGGGCAGCAGTACGCACATAAACAGTGGCAGCAGCTGCAGCAACGGCACGGACAGCAGGAGTGGCAGCAACAGGGGCAGCAGCAGCACCAATGTCAGCAGCAGCACCAATGTCAGCAGCAGCAGCAGCAGCAGCAGCAGAAGCAGCAACAGCAGCAGCAGGACCAATGGCAGGGGCAGCAAAAGGAGCAGCAACAGCAGCAACAGCAGCAGCAGCAGCAGCAACTCAAATCGAGCTTCCTGAGACGCAACTCTCTCGATATTACGGCTGGCAGGAGGGGCAAGGCAGCTGCACGTTGTGCTTCGGCAGACCTCACACGGGAAGGTTTCCCTGTGGAAGAGTGGGAGGAGCAGCAGTCGTTCAGGAGCCACACCCCAGAATTGGAAAGAAACGACAAGCTTTCCTTCCCTCCCTGGTCCGAGCCTCTACCCAATCCTCATTCATCCCCTCGTTCCGAACCTGTACCTCGTACAGTGCCACCAGTCGTCAGTTCTTCATCCCCTGCGCCCCAGCCCACTGTGGGCAGTACAGGTGGTGTGGGTGGTGTGATTGGTGCAAGTGGCGCTGATGTTGCGGGTGGTGTGGGTGTTGTTGGTCCGGTTGATGGTAGAGCTGCTGCAGCTACCAATGTGGGCAGTGGGAATGGCTTGAAAACTACCATAAACGTTGCAGCCGGTGTTGCTGGTGTTGCACTTGTTGGGGGTGTCGATGGTATGGCTGGCGTTGCTGGTGGTTCAGGTGTTTCTGTTGTTTCTGATCCTCCTGGTGTGGCTAGTCTGGCATCCTCCTCAGCCTGCTTTCCCAAACCAGATTCGACTATCCCACTGCACAGGGTGCGGCGATCACAGTCCCATGACCAGGGGCCAATGTTAGCTGGACAGCTGGACAGGACAATGCGGGGTGCCTCAACATTCCAGCCAAGATTTCCAGTCAGCAAGTATGCTCAAGAGCTGCACAAACGACTGGAAAAGCAGCCTTGGATACCCTCCAGGAGGTCCGGAGAAGGGGTGCTGCAGCAGGGATGGCTGGAGGGGCAGCGGAGGTTGTTGCTTGATGAAAGACATATGGCGCAGCAGCAGCAGCAGCAGCAGCAGTCGCGTTCAAAACTTCAGCAGCATCAGGAGCAGCTGACTCGCATCCAACAACAACTGCCCTTTCGCTTCAATCCCCCCACAACAGCCGCTTCTCTGACCTCTTCTGCTGGGACTTCTACTGTCGCAGCTGCTGCCCGTGCTGCTGCAGGTGTTGCTGCTGGCATACCTGCTGCTGTTGCTGCTGCCACAGCTGCTGCTGATGTTGCTTTCAACGCTGCTGCTAGATCTGGTGCTGAAGTTGCAGTCCCCTACTCGCGCCATGTCCCTCCTTCCCCCGCCAATCCACCCTCCAACTTCGATGGTACGGCCAGCTTGCATGGTCACAACAACACAGACAAGTGCAGCATCGATGACTTGGAGCATGATGCCTCTAGGAGAAACAGTGGCTATGGTGCTGACAACAGCGGAGGAGATGTCTTCATGCAGGAGTCTGCACCACAGGGCTTCATGCCTGCTGATGCTGCTCCTACTGACCACCCTAGTGCTGAGCAGATGTGTGCTGACCACCCTAGTGCTGAGCAGATGCGTGCTGACCAGTCTAGTGCTGAGCAGCCCAGTGCCGAGCAGCTGTATGCTGCCCAGCAGCAGATCATGGCAGACTTGACCCTTCCTCTGCCTCACCTCTCAGCGGACCAGTTGCTCCTGAGAGATGCTGAACACTCTGGGTTTTCTCCCTGGAACCTCATCTCCCCATCGTCTCGCATCGAGGGGGCAGCCTGTCACGATTTTCAGAACCAGGCCAATGATGTCCCCTCGATGACGCATTTGGGAGCAACAGGTGCAGGTTTGGGGATTGGGGGACAGGCTACTGATTCAGGAGGCTTGTTGCATACAGGGAATCTCGAGCATTTAGGGGTGATTACCCCTAGTGCTAGAACGTACACCGTTGATGCACTAGAGATGTTCTTGATGGATAATGGGAAGCACCGGGAATAAGGGTAGGGGTGAAATACATGTGTTTAGCTACCTTTTCCGTTATGTATTCTTTCTTTTATTGTCTTTAATTTGTGCATGTGTGTGTGTGGTGTGTGTGTGTGTGTGTGTGTGCGTGCATATGTGTGGGTTTATGTGTGTGTGTGTGTGTGCATTTGGATGTGTGTCTATGTGTATTAAAAAAATGTGCTTGTGTGCGTGTGTGTGGGTGAACGTGTAAGTGTAAGTGTGTGTTTTGTGCAAGTGTGTGTATGTGTATGTGTGTGTGTGTGTGTGTATGTATGTGTGTGTGTGTGTGTGTGTGTGTGTATGTGTGTATACGTGTGAGTGAAAAAGATATTCACTGAGAATTCCCCGGTGAACCAACAAGTAGTTAGAGCACAAGGAAACGACTAAGGAACGAACGCTACGATCACTCCTACCCCGTGCCTAGCCCGTAGTCTAGCTCCCGTTGATAGAGTTATCTCCGCATGGTGCGGTGAGCGTGGACGGCCCCGCAATGATACCTTCGATTTAGCTGACTTTGCACTTCCCTCGTGTGTTCGTAGGCCGGCAGTGCGTTAGTCACTATGGTATGCGCCGTAGGTGACGCCGGGGCGTTTCAGGCCTGTTGGCGCCGGGCGCGTTGGATCAGCCGAGCATGGTCGCTCGCATGTTGGTATGAAGTGCATGCGATTTCTGGTTGCTCGTTTTCTTCTTGCAGGGCGTTTTTCCTTTGCAGGTGCCTTTTTTGTATTTTACCGTCGAAGATTGTTGCTGGTACTACCATGTGTTAATATTGCAGCTTCATTGTGCAGGTGCTATAGTTAATTATTAGAGCAGAGGATGTTATTTTTTGCCATTACCAGTACTACTATGGCGACCTGAATTGTGATGGAAACTCTTAATAGATGTGCATAGCTTTTCATGTGTTGCGTTAATATATGAGAATTGAAAATCAGTAAGGTGTTTTGAATATGTAAGATTCAATAATGGAAAACAAAATATATGGGAATCTCATCATGTAATGATTTTGGATTCGCTAATAGACTGGATACTAAATCGAGCACAAAATTTCTTATAATTTTGAATTTTAAAATTCAGGTCGTATTAATAATCGCTTATGAATACAGCGCCAGTAACTTGCAACGCGAAGTGTATTATATACGATTTTTGGCTACAATGACTAGCATCAATGACGTTTGTCGGGATTACTGTTAACACGTGTACCATACTCCACCCATTTGGATCGCTTCCCACTTCATTGGAAATCCAATGTACGAAATCCCCGAACGAAATGTTCTGGGCACTCGGCCAAGCCTGAAAGTTCCCGAACCAAACAATCGAATTTAGACGATTGGTTCCGAAAGTTCTGGGAGAGACTCAAGCGCGATCTGCTCAAAAGGCATCTTGCCCGGCATTCCTGAACATACTTTCGAAAAGGGTACCCCAAAGCAACTTCCGAAGTATAATTTGAGCAGGATTTTGAGCCCACGTTTTTTCGGATGTTATCGTGACACACTAGTGCGGCAGGTTGACGTGGTGGGCTAGAAATTCTAGGGAATCTGGGATCGAATCCCTCGGTGGTATCTTCCAGGGCCTAAGTTATCAGGGCAATTACCCTGTTTTGACTGAAATTATAAGGTTTTTTTTTTCGATGAACCCTGTTTTTCACAAGGTAGTTTTTGGACGAGCCCGGAAAACAGGAGGGTATTTTTGAAACAGCTCGGATCTCTCCGGGATGTTTTCGAGCGGACCCGGATTGTTTAAGCAACACCTATTCTCCCCGACCTCCTCCACTTGGTTTTGCCTCTAAGTGTTTGATTTCTCCCCTCAGATTCTATACAGAGTCTATTTTCCTACCCTCTAGAGCAGCTCCTACCCTCCAAAGATTTTTTCTAAGTCCACAATCTCCATCCCTCTACAGCCGCTCCTTCATATACAGAGGATTTTTTTTCGAAGTCTAAACAAAGTCCCTCTTACCCCTCTAGAGGCGCTCCATCTTCTCCAATCCCCCCAGCCCTCGTGCTGCTGCATAGCCCACGGTGAGTTTCGCGAAATTCTGGTAATGCAGGTTATCAGGCCTTTTTTTGCTCGAACCCGGATTCGTGAAGGCTTATTTCCCGCTGGCTCGGATTTTACAGGGTCTTTTTCACAGGGGCCCAGATCGTCCGAGCTAGCAGAAATCCTAGCAATAGCCCTGGTATCTTCCATCAGAGTCTCCATGTGAGTGCCTTGGAGGTGCCGAAACATGCTCTCTATTGAATGACTGGTTTCGGATTGTAGTTGGTGTTCGAGTGCAATGTAACGGGTACTTCAAGTATTTTAGTCTGTGATAAACGTAAACGAGTGCAGTCGCATTGCCGAATTTGCGATTTGATGTTGACGAGCCTGATTTTAGTGAATTGAACCAACGTGGTTCGTGTGGGGGCGAGGATCTTTTGATTGGCTCAGCTTTGCGTGTTTCACGCGTTGGGCCTTGGCTTGGCCTTTGCGTGTTTCGCGGGTTGCACTTGGTTTTGATTTGGCTCAGCACACGTGGACGGTGCTCGTCAAGCAAGAACCTTGTTTGAAACCGCGGGGTCTGGGTCTGGGGTAGACTTGAGAGGATCGAGTGACACTTGGACTGTTGTCGTAACGTGGAAATTAACCGTTTTACACGACACTGGCTGCCAAGACAAGTCAGCCCTACACGGGGACGAGGGCACCTGGAGCGAGATCAGCAGAAATGCCCTTCGCCATTATCACAATCACCATCCAATGAAAATACAGCTTGCAGATCGGGAGAAAGACAACTTGAGGGTTGGCGAAGAAGGAAATGTGTGGATCCGTAGTGTATTAATGATGGCATCATTTGTACTGTATCGAAACTTCGACCGTCCCTGGGACGGGAAGGCAAAGCACTGTACAGGATCGAACTGGAAGGAGAGAGAAGCCACCGCACATTTGATTTGAAACCCTGATGCGTGCCTGTGACGGGGAAGACAAAGAACGGATTCAACCGACAGGGTTGGCAGACCACTTGGGCTTGTCGCACCAGTCAGGGAAGTTTCAGGCCTCGTAACAAGTGACTTCCGAACAAGTTAGTCGTCGCACGCGACCAAACTTGTTACAAGGCTGTTTAACCTCCTCCCAACATTCAAGTCTGATCACTGACAAGGTGGGTCGTACAGCAGTCGCTTGTTACGAAGATGCTTGTTCGTAACCACCTGAAATGCACCCCCCCTCCCCCCAAAAGCAAGCAGAGTAGAACACTGTACAGTAACTGGAGCGGGATGAGCATCCAGGCCCTTTGCCATACAGTAATGACATCCATCATCCAATGAAAATAGATCACACAACTTTCAGATCAGATCTTGTTCGTGGTTTTGACACCAGCTGCTTATGCGTGTCAACACGAAGCGCTACTGATTTTGCGTGTCAATCACTGTAGCATGCGTGTCAACACGAAGCGGGCGTTGGATCATCAACGACGCATTCTGATTAGTTGGGACCTACTCGTGTATTCAATGATTGGTGCATGGCCAAGCCAGCGACATTCTCAATTAGCTGTGAGGTCCCAAGTAGGAGAAGGTGCGACTTGATTGGGTAATAGGGGTGACGAAGATTGCAGCTGCGACGATCCTGACTGGCTTGTAGGCGTTGACTCTGTCAGAGTAAAAATGTATCCGACTAGCTGTACTGGCTATCAATCTGCGAAAATTTGACACTCTGCCAACAATGTCTGCTCGTGTCAAAATGGCAAAATGACACTGTCAAAACTACGAACAAGCCCTCAGAAAGAAAAGGTGTGGGTTGGAAGAGGTACAGTAGGTACCCCTACGCTTTCTGGCTTGACGTGATGAACACCCAGTGTTTGAGGGACTATTAATAGACAACCGGAAGGAGTGTGTAGAATGAAACTCGCACTTTGTGTTCCGATTGAGGGCTTAGTAGGTTTGGTTTGGCTTTTATATTCTTGTTGCTCCCTACCAATTCGCGAAAGAAGGTTGGACCGCCTTCCGGAATTTCCTAAACGTAAAAAACTACTCTACGAAAACGTTTTTCCTAGGTTATGTACCGCAGGGTATGTATTAAGGAGTGTGAAATAATCGCGAGCAGGATATTTTGCATCTCTATGATGTTGGCCCAGGATTGTGTGTCACAGAGACTGTTGTCGTGACGTGTATATTAACCGTTTTACGTGGCCCTAGTTGCCAAGACAAGTCAGCCCTGCACAAGGAGGAGGGCAGCTGGAGGAGAGCATCCATGCCCTTCGCCATAATCACATCCATCATCCAATGTGCAGATCCAATGTACTGTATCGAAACTCTGACTCTGCCTGGGACGGACAGGCAAAGCACTGTAGTATCGAACAAGTGGGAGAGACTAGCCACTGTACAGTACATCTGAAACCCTGAGACGTGCCCGTGCGCTTGTCCAGCACCAGTCGTGTCGTTCCACAACTACCCCTCCCCCCAAGCAAGTGGAACACAACCCACGCACTAAACCAGCCCATTTTCAGTTGAGCAACAGATCAAGTTGAAATTGTGCACACAGCAACCCATTCATTCTTTCTAGCTTGTCCAGCAGCCAGCTGCACAAAAGTCCGAGTTTTCTTAATACTACTAGCAGTAGTAGGCGACTCATAGTCATTACGATATCCAGCTCGAGCCACCTTGGCTGCGATCCGCTCCCTGTGGTGGCACCCCGGCGAATTAACTGTGGCGCCACAATGGAGACTGCATTGCTTTGAGTCAAACTTGCCCCCGGGAGGCTTCATTCTCGATCCCAACCAATTTTTAGACGCTAAAATCCAAGAATACTTTCAATGCTACTAGTAGCAGTATTACTAGTAGAAGCCGCATCAGCACTACTAGTGTTCTGACTCACTAGTACTAGTAGAAGCTGCATCAGACCTCCGTTTTCTGGGAGAGCTCCTGAAATATAGGTGGGATAACCAGGGACTCCTAGCAGATGCAACAGTTGTAGATGCAGCAACAGCAGATGCAACCAGAGCAGCAGGTAACACGGCAGCAGATGCAACAGCAGCAGAGATTACAGCAGCAGAGATTACAGCAGTAGGCTCAACAGCAGCAACAGATGCTTCAGCAACAGATGTCACAGAAACAGATGCAACAACAGCAGATGCCACAGCAGCAGATGCCACAGCAGCAGATGCCACAGCAGCAGATGCCACAGCAGCAGATGCCACAGCAGCAGATGTCACCGCAGCAGATGCCACAGCAGCTTGCACCACGGTCCCGTGCATCGCTGCTGCAACAGTCACAACAACAGCTGCAGCCACAACCTCAGGCACAGCGACACCTACAGTCACAGACAGAGCTACAGGCTGAGACAGAGCAGCTACCACCACACCGGATCCAGCAGCTCTCCTCTCAGCTACAGCCGCTGCTACAGCCGCACTTCTCGCAAGCATCAGAACAAGGTGAGGCTGCCACTAGTGCAGGGCCATTAAGGCGTGAAGCCAGACGCACCAGAATGACACGCAGCAAAAACTACAACCAATACCGGGGAGTGAGGAAGCGAGGGGAATTTCGTTTTATTGCAGAGATTAAAGACACCAATAGTGGGGTTCGCAGGTGGTTGGGCACGTTCCCTTCTGCAGAGGACGCTGCTAGGGCGTTTGATGAAGCTGCTGTGAAGATTCGAGGAGCAAAGGCGAAGCTTAACTTCCCTGGACGGTGTCTTCAGAAAGGGGGAGGGGTAATAGTACCCGGCTCGCATCCTGCAGCCTCATTGGGTGCAGCGACTAAATTGGAAACAGAAGGAGAGGTTGCAGGGCAGGATGGCGGAGAGGCTGGCATGGGAGTGCAAACAGGTGGGGTGTTAACGCAGGTTAGGGAGGACAGTAGTATCAGGAGCTGCGGAGGGAAAGGGAAGGAAGTACTAGGATATGATGAAGATACTGCAGCCAGGGGACTGGTGAGTGAAGGTGTGGGTCAGACGATGAAGAGAGTGGAGAGATCTAGGGAAGTAACTGGGGCCTTTGCGGTGCCTCACAGGCTGTTCGGAGAGGGATCAAGTAGTGCAGTGGCGGCGAGCTTTGCAGCGCCTTGGAGGCCATTTGGAGGGGGAACAAATAGGGCTGTGAAAGAATCAATAGGCGATGCAGGTGCTCCGGTAGGTGGGGAAGGCGGAGGAGGGGGAGGAGGAGGAGGAGGAGGAGGAGGAGGAGGAGGAGGAGGAGGAGGAGGAGGAGGAGGAGGAGGAGGAGGAGGAGGAGGAGGAGGAGGAGGAGGAGGAGGAGGAGGAGGAGGAGAGGACGGGTACGAGGAAGGGGACGTGGGAGGGGAGGAAGAAGAGTAGGAGGAGGAGGAGGAGGAGGAGGAAGAGGAGTGATAGGACTAGCAGGAGAAACGTCAGCTGGTGGTGATAGCGGGAGCAAAGCAGGTGCATTTATTCCCGAAAGAAGCTCCACTGTAAGCTGTAGCAGCTCGAGCTTAGCTGCCCCTTCCTCCTCCTCCGCCCCTTCCATCTCTGTTAATTCCGCCTCTGCCTCCTCCGCCAGTGTCTCTGTCCTCCCATCCGCCCATGCTGACCTTTCAATCCCTGAAGCTGCGCTCACTGCGCTCACTAGCGGCGTTCATATCCGTGCCACTCTCCCCGCTCACACCTCAGAATGCAACCCTATGTTGATTGGTGGTACCATGAATCGCCACTCAATCCCTCAGGAGGAGCTGCCAAGTGCTATGGTGGTACCTGAATCGGATCTTAACAGGCTTGAGGAGTTGGGATTTGAGGAGATGGGATTTAAGGGGTTGGCAGAAGGTGAGAGGGAGTGGACCTCCGAGCTTGCGGAGCAGTTTGCTCAGCAGCTGGGGGGGATTGAAGAAACCAATTGGGATGGAGGGAGTGGTGTTGGTGCTGGAAAGGGCAAGGAGGCAGTGGAAGATAGGGAGATGTCTCTGGGGGAAGAAAGGGAGATGTCTCTGGGGGAAGAGAGGGAGATGTCTCTGGGGGAAGAGAGGGAGATGTCTCTGGGGGAAGAAAGCAGTGGAAGCAGAGATTCTGATGGTGGGGAAGGGGCGATGGAGGAGGAGGGTGCGGCGAGGGCGGGCACGGGAATAGATGAGCGTTTGGCTGGCCTTGTTCCTACTGACGATGAGGTTGCAATGGTGATGGGAATGCAGGTAAGCCAACAGATTTTGCCAGTTCAAGCAGTCGATTCTGCAGCGTTTGGCCCATCCTCCCAATGGCATCAGGCAGGTCAACATGGTCAACAGGGTCAGCAGGGTCAGCAGGGTCAACAGGGTCAACAGGGCCGAAGAACAGGTGTGGTGGAAGGTGTGTCAGCAGCAGGCCCATCCAGCCATCCAGGCATGGAGCAGACTGTAACTCCAGCAGGCCTCCCAGCACTTGCAGCATGGGAGCATGGTTGGGCAGCAGGGCAGCACGTAAGGACAGGGGAACATGAGTTGGCAGCAGGGCAACGTGTGCTGGCTTGGGAGCAAACAGCAGGAATGCCAGTCCCAGCACACTTGGCTACGCAGGCAACGAATGAACCACCAGCGGATCCATGGAGTTTCAGTGTGGAAGTGGCCGGGAGGGTGATGGCACATGGTGGGCAATACTCACTGCAAGAAGCAGGGGAGGCAGTGGAGGCAGAGGAGGTAAACAACGGCATGGCTGCCTCAGCTCCGGGCATGCTTCCAAGCTGGCATGAAGAAATGATGCAGCATGCGCCTGCCATGGTGTCCCCGTTTGGGCCCCTTCCGAGGAATGATCATGGCATGCGGTATGCTTTTACCATGTCCCGCAGATCTTCAGTTGTCGTGATTCCACACGTGCCTCGGCATCAAAAGAACCCCCAGCAGCAGCAGAAGCAGCAGCAGCTTGGGCAGGGGCAGCAGCAGGGGCAGCAGCAGCAGCAGCAGCAGCAGCAGCAGCAGCAGCAGCAGCAGCAGCAGCAGCGTCATCAGAAGCAGCGGCAACAGGAACAGGAGCAACAGCAGGGGCAAGAGAGTGGGGAGCAACAGTGGCGGAAGCAGGGTCAGCAGCAACAGCAGCAGCAGGAACAGGTGCAACATCATGGGCAGCAGTACGCACAAAAACAGTGGCAAAAGCAGGGGCAGCAGCAGCTGCACCAATGGCAGGGGCAGCAACAGGGGCAACAGCAGCAATGGCAGCAGCAGCAGCAACTCAAATCGAGCAACCTGAGACGCAACTCTTTTGATATTATGGCTGGCAGGAGGGGCAAGGCAGCTGCACGTTGTGCTTCGGCTGACCTTTCACGGGAAGGTTTCCCTGTGGAAGAGTGGGAGGAGCAGCAGTCGTTCAGGAGCCACACCCCAGAATTGGAAAGAAACGACAAGCTTTCCTTCCCTCCTTGGTCCGAGGCTCAACCCAACCCTCATTCATCCCCTCGTTCCGAACCTGTACCTCCGGACCCACCAGTCGTCAGTTCTTCATCCCCTGCGCCCCAGGCCACTATGGGAAGCATAGGTGGTGTGGGTGGTGTGATCGGTGCAAGTGGCGCTGACGTTGCTGGTGGTATGGGTGTTGTCGGCCCGGTTGATGGTAGAGCTGCTACAGCTGCCAATGTGGGTAGTGGGAATGGCTTAAACACTACCTTAAACGTTGCTGCCGGTGTTGTTGATGGCGCTGCTGGTGTTGCACCTGTTGGTGGTGTGGATGGTGCAGCTGACGTTGCTGGTGGTGCTGGTGTTTCTGGTGGTGCTGGTGTTACTGGTGTTGTTGCTGCTCCTGTTGTGGCTGGGCTGGCATCCCCAGCCTTCTCTCCCAGACCAAGATCAACTCCTCCACTGAACAGGGTGAGGCGATCACAGTCGCATGAACAGGGACCAATGGGAGCTGGGCAGCTGGACAGGCAACTGCTGCGTTCGTCAACATTCGAGCCAAGATTTCCAGTCAGCAAGTATGCCCAAGAGCTGCACAAACGACTGGAGAAGCACCCATGGAGACTTTCCAGGAGGTCCGGAGAAGGGGTGCTGCAGCAGGGACGGCTGGAGGGGCAGCAGAGGTTGTTGCTTGATGAACGGCAGATGGCGCAGCAGCAGCAGCAGCAGCAGCAGCAGCAGCAGCAGGAGCAGCAGCAGCAGGAGCAGGAGCCAACGCGGCAGCAGCAGTGGCAGCAACAGTGGCAGAAGCAGCAGCAGCAGCAGCATCGGACGCGTTCAATACTTCAGCAGCAGCAGCAGCAGCAGCAGCAGCAGCAGCAGCAGCAGGAGCAGGAGCCAATGCGGCAGCAGCAGTGGCAGCAACAGTGGCAGAAGCAGCAGCAGCAGCAGCATCGGTCGCGTTCAATGCTTCAGCAGCAGTTGCAGTTGATGCACCAGCAAGAGCAGCTGCAGCTTCTTCAGAAGCATCAGGAGAAGCTGACTCGCTTCCAACAACTGCCCTTCCGCTCCAATCCCCCCATAACAACTGCTTCTCTTGCCTCCTCTGCTGCTGTCGCAGCTGCTGCCCGTGCTGCTGGTGCTGCTGCAGGTGTTGCTGCTGGCATACCTGCTGCTGTTGCTGCTGCCACAGCTGCTGGTGATGTTGCTTTTACCGCTGCTGCTGGATCTGGTGCTGAAGTTGCAGCCCCCCACTCGCGAGATGTCCCTCCTTCTCCCGCCATTCCACCCACCAGCTTCGATGGTACGACCAGCTTGCGTGGATACAGCAACACAGAGAAGAGCGGCGTCGATGACTTGGAGCATGATGCCTCTAGGAGAGCCAGTGGCTGTAATGCTGGCAACAGACGAGGAGACGTCTTCATGCAGCAGTCTGCACCACAAGGCTTCATACCTGCTGATGCTGGTCCTACTGACCAGCCTAGTGCTGAGCAGCCCAGTGCTGAGCAGCTGTACGGTGCCGAGCAGCTGTACGGTGCCCAGCAGCATATCATGGCAGACTTGACCCTTTCTCTGCCTCACCTCTCAGCGGACCAGTTGCTCCTGAGAGATGCTGAACACTCTGGATTTGCCCCCTGGGGCCTCATCTCCCCGTTGTCTCGCATCGAGGGGGCAGCCTGTCACGATTTTCAGAACCAAGCCAATTATGTCCCCTCGATGACGCATTTGGGAGCAACAGGTGCAGGCTTGGGGATTGGGGGACAGGCAACTGATGCAGGAGGCTTGTTGCATACAGGGAATTTCGAACATTTAGGGGTGATTACCCCTAGTGCTGGAACGTACACCGTTGATGCACTAGAGATGTTCTTGATGGATAATGGGGAGCACCGGGCATAAGGGTAGGGTGAAATACATGTACTTAGCTACCTTTTCCGTTATGTACGCATTTTTTAATTGTAATAAATCATCCATTCTTTAATTTGTGCATGTGTGTATGTATGTGTGTGTGTGTGTGTGTGTGCGTGTGTGCGTGCATGTGTGTGTGTTTATGTGTGTGTGTGTGCATTTGGGTGTGTGTCTATGTGTATTAAAAAAAATGTGCATGCGTGCGTGTGTGTGGGTAAACGTGTGAGTGTATGTGTGTGTTTTGTGTGTGTGTACGTGTGTGTGTATGTGTGTGTGTTGTGTGTGTGTGAAAAAGATATTCACTGGGAATGTTCTTTCATTTGGCGAACGTGCTTTAGGGCGTGTATGCCGAAAAAATCGTCAGCTCACATTTTAGAATCGACTGAAGCATCTGATCTTGAGTCGAATGTTGGGTCCATTCCATGTGACCTTGGCTCGAACCATGTGTTGTAATTATAGTTGAATCACTCCACTTGCACGGTGTCCCAGCTGGGTTCAGATATCGAGAGTTGAACCTAAAGCAAACGCGACGGGCCACGCGTAGGGTGCCTAGGTTACCCGGTTTGTGTTCCTTGACATCGCAACACGTCGGCTGGTTGCAATTTGGTTATGAGGGGGCTACAAACAGCCCTCGTGGCCATCAACTTGGCGCTCTGGACCACGGCGCTTGTTGATGAGTCTCAAAATGCGTTCGTCGGTATCACTCGTGCGGTTCGCGAGGTTTCTCGCAAGTCGCCAATTTGTTCCTGTCAAGGGGAGTTGGGTTTGGCCCCGTCCTCGCTTGGGCGGAGCCGACTTCGTGGTCGGATGTGTGGAGGAGCAGCCGACCTGCAGTAGTGGGCGCGCTGGTCGACGAGGTTAGTCGACCTGCACGGGGGCCACTGTGAGGGCGCCGACTTCGGAGGGCGCCAAGTTAGGGGTGGTCGACCCGGCGAGGCCGACCTGACATGGCGTCGACTTCGGGGCGCTGACCTGGGGTGGCCGACGACTTGGCGAAGTCGGCGGCCCGGTCTGGAGTGGTCGACGAGGGGACACCAACCAGGGAAGACGCCGACTTGCTGGCACCGACCTGGTTGCCTGATCGACCGCGTTACCCGAGCGACGGAGCTCCTGCGGAGGTGTGCGATGGTCGCTGGGGTGGCTTCTGCGAGATCGACCTCGGGGGTGGTATCCGAGGTCGACTTGGCTGATGGGCGCAGTCACTGGCGTGGATTCTGCCAGACGTCTGCGTTGTGCTCGTGACAAGGCGTGGTGCACCAATCGTCCGCGCGCACCTGCGAAGCAGGTGCACCGTTGCCCTGCGGGTGCAAGACTGTGCAGCCGACTTGCTGCAGCGTTGGCATACCGCAGACTTGCAGCGTTGGCAAGCCACGCCCCTGCAACGCTGGAGCGGTGCGAGCAGTGCTGCGCTGGAACGCGGTCGACCGTGCTGCGCTGGAATGTAGTCGTGCATGCCAATGTTGTTGCTACCATTGTTGTGAACTTTTGCTAGTGAAACTCTTGCCAAATTCCCCCGTGAACCAGCAAGTAGTTAGAGCACGAGGAAACAACTATGGAACGAACGCTACGATCACTCCTACCTCGTGCTTTGCCCGTAGTCTAGCTCCCGTTGATAGAATTATCTCCGCATGGTGCGGTGACCGTGGATGGCCCCGCAAAGATACCTTCAATTTAGCCGACTTTGCACTTCCCTCGTGTGTTCGTAGGTCGGCAGCAGTGCGTTCGTCACTATGGTAGGCGCCGTAGGTGACGCCGGGGCGGTAGACACCCTGGAAGCACGGCTGGAGGATTTAAGGAGACGCCATGGGGCCCGCGAGTATGGGGAGACGCTCCCCTGGGCAGTCGTCGAGGCTGGCATTCGCGCCGTGTGGGCAGCGTTGCACCATTCTCGACCTGGCTCTCCTTGACCGGTGAACACTGCAAGCGACGTGGGCGTGAGCGTCGATGGCGGTGTCCAAGACGGCAGCAGTGCGGGAGGCACGTCGAGGCAGAGAGGTGTGATTCACGCCGATGAAGTCGGCGGCGTTCAGGCGCGAGGGATGCAGCCGTCGGAGGCTGCAAGCTCCTCGCATGGCGACGTCGGAGGACGTCGGAGCAGGGTGACGCCGATGTCGGCGACCCAAGTAACGGCGGGAGGGATCGCGCCGAGCTACGGCTACTTCAAGAATCTCTATCACCCCCCTGCTGGTCGGTCGACCCGACATTCTCACCTGGAAATAAGCCATCGAGCCTCAGCTGGAGATGGCCGGGCTGATGGGCTTCGCCGCCGGCACCGTGGCGACGCCGTCGGAGATCTACCCCGAGCTGCGTGCGGGGTTCCGCGTTGTGCAGCTGCTGACCTTCACGGTCATTTCGCGGTGCTGCTCGCCGGGCGTGCAGATCGCCTTGAAGCCGTGCAGGGACTACCTGGACGCCGGCCACCAGGCATGGCACTTCATCGAGTCGACGTACCAGGTCACCGACGACCTGTACATCGGCCAGCTCGAGGAGCAGATGACGCATCTGCGGATGGGCGACCAGGAGACTGCGACCGACTACTGCAACCGGGCTCGGCGACTTCTCGCCACCATGAGGATGTCCGGCGTGCAGTACTCCACGGCGTCGTATGTCACGCACGTCATGAAAGGGCTTCCGGACAGCTACAACCTCCTGAAGCGGCTGTCGGTGGTACCGAGCACGCGAGCGACACTCAACGAGGACTCCCTGACCTCGTACATCCTGCGGGACGAGGCGATGCAGGAAGCCGAGCGGTCCTCGGAGCTCCTGCTGCAGGTGAACTACGCCTCCCCGGCGATGCAAGGTGGTCGGCCGGGATAGCGCGGGCAGCCTGGCAGTGGTGGTAGCTGTGGCAGAAGCCGGGGAGGGATGCCGACAAGGCAAAGTCGGCGTCGGGAGTGCTGGATCTGCCACAGCCCCGACCATCTCTCCTTTGAGTGCCCCGACCGAAATGATTCCAACGACGACGACGCCAAGGGAGGCCGCGGGAGGTCGGCTAGTCGTCGTCCACGTCGAGGAAGTAAGCCGCACAAGGAGAAGCAGTCGAACAAGTCGACCTCGGCGAAGGACGCCGACTCCTCTGCTGGCGGCAAGGGGCGAGACGACAAGGAGGCGTCGTGCTCGCTGGTCGGCGTCGTGGAGCCGACCGTCTCACTAGCGCCGGAGGCTGGCGAGGACTTCCAGGCAGTGGCGGCAGCTGTGCAGGCAAACCCGGCAGTGGTCCTGCTCGACAGCGGCTGCTCACACCACCTGATGGGGACAAAGGAGGCCTTCGTCGACCTGTAGCCGAGCAGCGACATCAGGCATGTGCGCTGCAGGACGTCGGGGGCAGGGGCACGGTTGCCCTGCAAGGGGAGGCCGGGAAGCAGGTGCTCATCCCCGACGTGCTCTACGTTCCGGGCGTGCAGCCGAACCTGCTGTCAGCCGGCCAACTAAAGGAGAACGGCGTGAAGCTGCAGGACGATGGCGACGGGATGCTGCTCGTCTTGGCAGCAGGAGATGTGCTTGGTCGGGCTACGTACACCGGCCGGGTCCTCTGCACCGACCTTCGACCCTGCTCGAGGAAGCTGACGCCGTCCACAACAGAGGTAGTGGCCCTGCGGGCGATCGTCTTGGCGACCAAGTTGACACCGGGCAGGTGGCACGCGAGGCTTGCGCATGTCGGTGTCGACACCATCACGAGCTCGGCGAAGCACGAGGTCGCCATCGGCCTGGACATCAAGTCGCCAACCGGTGTAGACTCCCCGTGTATCTCGTGCGTCGGTGGGAAGCTGGCGCGACACACCTTCCCCGACAAGGGCTCGGACGCCGATGCCGCCCTGACTATCGTGCATATCGATCTGTGCGGGCCATTTCGGGTGGCTGCCTAAGACAGGAGCATGTACTTCTTGCTGCTGAAGGACCGCAAGACCCGCTATGTATAGGTGAGGCCGGTCGCCAAGAAGTCGGACGTGCTGCGGGAGTTCGAGCAGTGGCTGGTGACGGTTGAGCGGCAGGAGAAGAAGTCGGTGTTGATGCTACGCTCTGATCGGGGAGGGGAGTTTCTTGGGAAGGAGTTCACCGCCTTCGTGGACGGCAAGGGGATCGTCCACGACCTGACCTGCCCCTACACCCCACAGCAGAACGGCATGGCGGAGCGGGAGATGCGCACGGTCGTCGAGTCCGTGCGGACGATGCTGCTGCACATGGGCGTGCAGCATCACTGGTGGCACCTCGCTCTGCGGCAGGCCGTCTGGGTCCGCAACTGCCTTGAGAGGTCGGCGCTGCCGCCGGGGACGACGACGTACCAGCTGTTAACCAGGAAGAAGCCGGACTTGTCGCTGGCCCGCGTGTGGGGCTGCATGGCGTAGTTCCTACACCTCGAGCAGCAGCGCGGTGGGAAGCTGCAGCCGAAGGCCCGGTGGGGCCTTCACCTCGGCGTGTCGGAGGAGAGCAAAGGCTGGGAGCTCCTCGACATCGCCGACAACAGGGTGGTCACCACGTCGGACGTGGTGTTCTACGAGACCATGTCGCTGGAGGTGTGGAAGTTGCAGCACGGGCCGGCGTCGGGGCGGACACGGGTCACCCCGCCGACAGACACCTCGACAGCGACACTCCCTCTGCCCGCCGAGGTCGGGGAGCTGGCTAATGAGGACGCCACGGTCATCCCCTCCTCCCCTTCACCTGCCCCTCCTTCCTCTCCCCTTGTCGCCGACCTGCACGTGCTGCCATCGACGTCTGCCAGCGGCGATGAGGGGAGACGTGCGGCGTCGCCTATGGCGCCGGCCGAGGGCATCGCCGGTGGCCGACGAGACGCTACGCGTGTTGGCGTTGGAGCGAAGCCGACGCCGACAAAGAAGCTGCAGACCGAGACGGTGCATCCGATGTTGGTGGAGTCAGCGAAGGAGGCATCGGCAGGACAGCAGGCGACAGGAGAGCAGACAGCAGCGAAGCCGACCAAGGAGCAGTCGGCGACCGGGCAGTCGGCAGGAGAGCCGACCGTAGGGGAGAAGTCGGCAGGGACGCCGACCGAGGTGCGGGAGGACGCTGAGGGCAGCGAAGCCGACGACGACGAAAGGGAGCAGTCGGGAGCCGAGGAGTCCACCGACAGCGATGTGGTGGAGGTCCACCCTGGGCCATGGCATACAGGTCGGATTCGGAGGTCACCCGACTTCTTCGTACCGGCCGCCTTCACCACGGCGTACGACAACGACGTCGACGACCTGGCGTACGTCGACGCAGAGGAGGATGAGGACTTGCCGGAGCTCGACCCGAACATGCACGCCGACCCCGAGCACCGCTGGGACATCTCAACGCTGACAGTGAAGGAGGTGTTGACGAGCAGGAAGGGCAAGGCAGTGAAGGCCGCCATGGAGGAGGAGATCCGCAGCCTCATCAGCATGGGGACGTGGGAGCTAGTTGAACGCCCACCGGGGGTGAACATCATGAAGAACCGGTGGGTGTTGACAACGAAGTACCGCATCGACGACACCGTCGAGCGCGAAAAGGCGAGGCTGGTCGTGAAGGGCTTCACGCAGGTGTATGGCGCCGACTACGACAAGACGTACACTCTGGTGAGCAGCTACGTCACGCTGAGGATCTTCCTCAGCATCGTCGCCGTCCTCGACCTCAACCTGATGCAGCTCGACATGAAGAACGCCTTTCTGTAGAGCAAGCTCGACTTAGTGCTGTACATGTACCAGCCGGACTACTTCAACGATGGGACCGGCCGGGTGTGCAAGCTGCTGAAGAGCCTTTACGGGCTGAAGCAGTCGCCGCTGTTGTGGTACAAGGCGCTCAACGACGTGCTGGTCGGCGCCGGGTGGAAGAAGAGCCAGGTCGACGAGGCTCTATACTTCAAGGTCGGCGGGGATGGCGTGGCCTGCTGGGTGCTGGTCTATGTCGACGACCTACTCGCCGCCAGCAGCAGCACCGCGATGCTGAAGGAGCTGTTGGAGGCCGCCTTCGAGCTACGCGAGATTTCGCCGGTGGAGCGCTACCTCGGGCTGGAGATCGTGCGCGACAGGCCGGCGAGGAAGCTGTGGCTGCACCAGCAGGGCTACGCCGACAAGCTGCGTAGGCGGTTCATCGACGAGGAGCAGACCGGGCGCACTCCGAAGACGCCGGTCTCCGTCGACGCCTACGCCGAGCTGACGTTCGACGACGAGGAGGCACAGGAGCGACAGGAGGAGGAATACCGGCAGAAGGTCGGCTCGCTGCAGTTCGCGGCGACGACGACGAGGCCGGACATCGCCTTCGCCTGCAGCAAGCTGGGGAACGGCCTCGCGGTGAGGAGAGACTAGCACTGGCGCGAGGTCGACCGCTGCCTCGCCTACCTCGCCAACACTCGTGATACCGCCCTGGAGTTCGGCGGTGGACCAGAGAAGCTGGAGCTGCTCGGCTACGTCGACGCAGAGGACGCCGGTGACAAGCAGAACCGGACGAGCACGGGCGGCTACGTGTTTGTCTACGGAGGGGACGCCGTCTCTTGGTCGAGCCAGCGCATCAAGTGCGCGATGCTGTCGTCGACCGAGTCGGAGTACGTGGCGGCCACCGAAGCCGGCAAGGAAGGACACCGCCTTCGCTTCCTCCTCGCAGAGTTCCGACCACCGAGCAGCCGGCCGACTTCCTGACGAAGGCGCTGCACTACCCGGCCTTCAACCGGTGCTCCATCGCAATCGGCCAAGTGCGCCTGACCAACGTCGGCGACGGTCACAATGCCGTGCAGCAGTAGGTGCCATGCCCTCTTGCATGGCTGGTGCGGTGACCGACGTGCCGTGTGTTGTGTGCACGCCGCCGGGCTATTCTCCGAGAAGTACTGCCGTGTGGGCTGGGGGCCCAAGCGTGAACGCGGTAGGGGAGTGTAAAGGGGAGTTGTGTGTTGGCCCCGTCCTCACTTGGGCGGAGCCGACTTCGTGGTCGGATGCGTGGGGGAGCAGCCGACCTGCAGCAGTGGGCGCGCTGGTCCACGAGGTTAGTCGACCTGCACAGGGGCCACTGTGAGGGCGCCGAATTCTGAGCGCGCCAAGTTAGGGGTGGTCGACCTGGCGAGGCCGACTTGACATGGCGCCGACTTCGGGGCGCTGACCTGGGGTGGCCGACGACTTGGCGAAGTCGGCGGCCCGGTCTGGAGTGGTCGACGAGGGGACACCGACCAGGGAAGACGCCGACTTGCCGGCACCGACCTGGTTGTCTGATCGACCGCGTTACCCGAGCGATGGAGCTCCTGTGGAGGTGTGCGATGGTCGCTGGGGTGGCTTCTGCGAGACCGACCTCGGGGGTGGTATCCCGAGGTCGACGTGGCTGATGGGCGCAGTCACTGGCGTGGATTCTGCTAGACGTCTGCGCTGTGCTCATGACAGGGCGTGGTGCACCAATCGGTCGCGCGCACCTGCGAAGCAGGTGCACCGTTGTCCTGCGGGTGCAACGCTGTGCAGCCGACTTGCTGCAGCGTTGGCATACCTTGGACTTCCAGCGTTGGCAAGCCGCGCCCCTGCAGCGCTGGAGCGGTGCGAGCAGTGCTGCGCTGGAACGCGGTCGACCGTGCTGCGCTGGAGGTCGACCAACCTTTTCGCTAGCTGGGATGTAGTTGTGCATGCCAATGTTGTTGCTACCATTGTTGTGAAACTCTTGCCAAATTCACCCGCAGAAAGAGCACAAGGAAACGACTAAGGAACGAACGCTACGATCACTCCTACCCCGTGCCTAGCCCGTAGTCTAGCTCCCGTTGATAGAGTTATCTCCGCAGTTCCACGTGCACAAAAGTGCATAGGTTCACTTGAACGTGCGTACGCATGTTCAGGCATTGGTTCTGAGCGCAGTTCGAAATATAGATTTACACAAGTGCGCAATTCAAATGTTTGTGGTTTCGCAAGAGATCATCCCGAAATTTACGAATACTTGTAACCCTACCCAATTCGAACTGTGTTCTTGTAAGGAAGCTTTCGAGATTCGCCTGGCATGACGAGGTTTAATTTACACTACATTTGGGCAGTTAAAGATAGGGAAACCGATCGTTTAGACTATCCCTAAATAGCCCATTGGTCTGGCAGTGGGGCGACTTATTTGAAAAGTAGCATTGGCAATGACCCCACAATGGTCTGATGTTTTACTAGGGAGGGGCTGTAATCATTAGGCGGCAGTAACTGTTCTTGTGCGCTGTGACGTCAAACTACCCCGTTGAAATTCCCTCCAAGTTTTAGCAGAAAGGCGGGAAACCAAGGAGGTCGCAGGGGGGTCGTTCCCGCTGGCGGGATTTATGTACCATCGCATGGGGTCGCAAACCGTTTCCCGCCCTACAAACGAGGTCACCTCAATGATTTTCTAGCGGGGTCACCCTCGCTATCGAACAGGGCCAATATTTTCCGTACAACTCTGGGATTCCGAAAACCAGAGGGTCGTTTTGGGAGCAACAGGGATGTGCAATGCAGTAACCAAGTCAGCCAGTTGTACACAGCTGCTACTAAGGGCGTGTTCCTACAGCCCCCTATCAGGCACCTCTTATCAGACTCGCCCGGTAAAATGCACAAAGGGTTTAGGGTTAGCGCGAATTTCAGTGTGATTTTTTCCGAGCTTGATAGGAGGTGGCCTGATAGGGGGTTGTAGGGCGTCGCCCTAGAAGTACTACAGAACTACTAGCAGTACTGCTGACAGCACATGTGCCATCAGTGCAGGGAGCCAGCAGCAGCTTCATGAAAAGTGGTCATTGCACTTTATTGATTGGGAAGTCAAGTATTCTCTTCATTCTTAATCAAAACCAGACCACCGTTGACAGGAAGGAGTGATAATTCTGGTATCCAAGCTTATTCGACCTTCAGACGAAATTTTAGGAGAGGCCTTCATTGTCCACTGTGGCTCGTGACGAGAGTTTTGGAGATTTACGGCAACCTGACAGCCCCCCAGTTGCAGTGCAACGGTAACCAATGCAGAATTAGTAGCAGATGCCTCACCCGCAGCAATTCTGACACAGCAGATGCCACAAAACGGATGCAACAGTAGTTTCTGAGATGGAACAGCAGCAGGTGAAACCCGAGCTGATGCAAAAGAAGCAGATGCCACAGCAGCAGATGCCACAGCAGCAGATGCAACCACATGAATTGGAACAACAGATGCTGCTACTGCAGATGGCACAGCAGCAGATGTCACAGCTGCAGATGCCACAACAGCAGATGCCACAACAGCTTGCACCACGGTCCTATACAACGCTGCCTCTACAGCCACAGCCACAGCCACAGCCACAGCTACAGGCTGAGCCAGAGCAGCTACCATCACACCGGATCCAGCAGCTCTCCTCGCAGCTACAGCCACTGTTGCTGTGCTGTTGCTGTGTTGCTGGCTCACCCACCCTTTGCTGTTGGCTCACCCACCCTTTGCTGTTGGCTCACCCACCCTTTGCTGCTGGCTCACCCACCCTTTGCTGTTGGCTCACCCACCCTTTGCTGTTGGCTCACCCACCCTTTGCTGTTGGCTCACCCACCCTTTGCTGTTGGCTCACCCACCCTTTGCTGTTGGCTCACCCACCCTTTGCTGTTGGCTCACCCACCCTTTGCTGTTGGCTCACCCACCCTTTGCTGTTGGCTCACCCACCCTTTGCTGCTGGCTCACCCACCCGTTGCTGTTGGCTCACCCACCCGTTGCTGTTGGCTCACCCACCCTTTGCTGTTGGCTCACCCACCCTTTGCTGTTGGCTCACCCACCCTTTGCTGTTGGCTCACCCACCCACCCTTTGCTGTTGGCTCACCCACCCTTTGCTGTTGGCTCACCCACCCTTTGCTGTTGGCTCACCCACCCGTTGCTGTTGGCTCACCCACCCTTTGCTGTTGGCTCACCCACCCTTTGCTGTTGGCTCACCCACCCTTTGCTGTTGGCTCACCCACCCTTTGCTGTTGGCTCACCCACCCTTTGCTGTTGGCTCACCCACCCTTTGCTGTTGGCTCACCCACCCTTTGCTGTTGGCTCACCCACCCTTTGCTGTTGGCTCACCCACCCTTTGCTGTTGGCTCACCCACCCTTTGCTGTTGGCTCACCCACCCTTTGCTGCTGGCTCACCCACCCTTTGCTGTTGGCTCACCCACCCTTTGCTGTTGGCTCACCTACCCTTTGCTGTTGGCTCACCCACCCTTTGCTGTTGGCTCACCCACCCTTTGCTGTTGGCTCACCCACCCTTTGCTGTTGGGTCACCCACCCTTTGCTGTTGGGTCTGAGGGCCAAGGCAGCGTAGTAGGCGGAGTGGCGGGCAGCCCACAGCTTGGATCGCTCCTCAGGGGCCGTCGACCACTCAAACGAGCCGCCGCCATTGCCAGATGCAATCTCCGAAACCTGCTTAGCTTGCTCCTCAACAGCAGCAGCAGTGCCGTGGAACTCAAAGAAGAGCGTGGGGCTTGGTCGCAGGTGCGTCTTGGAGTAGCGATTCACTGCTTCTATCTGGTGGGATTCAATGGGAGGAGTCAATGAGGTGGGGGATATGAAGTATGCGTGACTCTTCCCTGGTTCTGAAAGAAGAGTGTGGGACTCGAGTGCAGGTGCGCCTTGAAGTATCGGTTAACTGCATCCACCTGGGGGGGTTCATCATAACATCAGAGGGGCATGGAGCATATTTTGATGCGGCCATTTCCTTCATCCTCCAAAAAGGGGACTCGAGTGCACGTGCGTCTTGGAGTAGCGATTCACCGCGTGTACCTGTTGAAAAGGGGGGGGCAAGGAGGGCATGCATCACGCAACCTCTTCCCTCACGTGTCGAAAACGTTTTTTTTATCATATATCTTCTAAGGGGCCTAAAAAATCGTGCGCTGAACATACTCACAGCAACAGTATGAGGCGGCTCAGGAATGGAAAAGAGTGGCTAAGCGTCAAGGGATGGAAGAGACTGGCTAGGAGCGAACTCATGGCACCAGCAATGGAGGTGAAGGGGCAGACAGCAGCAGAGACGGCCTCGGATTGGGGATACAGGCGAAGGGCTACTTGTATGCGTGATGCGTGATGTAGGATGGACGATAAATGGGGTGGTGGTGCAGTGTGGATGGAGGGGGAAGGGAGCAGCTCAAACAGCGTGTGGGGGGATGAACCCCTGCATGTTTTAGTCGACTCAAAAGTAAGCTCGGAGAATGGAACCCCTGCATGCTGCTACCCTTACCCCCATCCTAGCACCTGCATGCTGCGACAGACATCCTCAATTCAGTGACATTCTCATCCGTACCTCGGTGACAACAGCCAAGGTGCCCTCACTGCCTATTATGAGGCGAGTCAAGTCATAGCTGATGCCATTCACACATGGGGGGGAGGCAGCAGGGCGCATGGAGGGAAGGGAGGTTAGGGTGGAGGGTTATGAAGCGTCTCAAAACACGATCAGGCGAGTCAAGTCATAGCTGATACCATTCACACAGGCGGGCAAAGGCAGCAGGGCGCATGGAGAGGGAGAGAGGAGTTAGGGGCGCCTCAAGAATCGATCAGGCAAGTCAAGGCAATATGGGCGCACAGGCGCACCGGAGGGGACCGGGGATGGGGTACACCGTACATATGGTGGTGGACTAGGAGAGAGGATGGGAAACGGGGGGTTAAAGCAATAGGTAGAGCAGGAGGAGGAGAGGTGAATTTCGGGGAGTGGCGAGAGGGGCGAGAGGGGCGAGAGGGGAGAGTGGGGAGAAGAGGGTGGGGGGGCGGATGGGTGTAGTGTTTTCACTGGACGCTCAGAGTAACCACTGGCAGCACAACCTCAACCGCAACCGCAACTGCCCCTCCCACCCCCCCTCTCCCCCGCGCCCCACTCCCCGACCCCCGACCCCACCCGAACCCCACCCCAACCCACAACCCACAACCACAACCCACAACCACAACCCCACCCGCAGGAAGGCAGTGGAATGGCAGGCACGGGGCCAGCTCACCCTGAGGAAGACTTTCGTGCCCGGCTGCCCGTCTTTATGATCTGCCCGTTGGGCAGCACTGCAGTGACCCCCAGCACTGCCTCTCGCATCGTGCCGTACCTGGTGTGCGGTGGGGCATGGAGGGGCGTGGTGGCGCGGTGGGGCATGGTGGTGAGTAGATGCTATTTAATGGGGGGAAAAATGTGGGGAAGGGAAAAACGAGAAGCGAGGGAAAAACGAGAAGGGAGGGAAAAACGACGGAGAAGGGGAAAAGGGGAAGGGAAAGGGAGGAGGAAGGTGGGAACGGAAAAAGGGGGACGGGAAACATAACGAGGAGAGAAGGCATGGCATGGGATGGCATGGGATGGCATGGGATGGCATGGGATGGCATGGGATGGCATGGGATGGCATGGGATGGCATGGGATGATGGTTTACCGAACAGCATTGGTGCCTGAAGCTCTTGTTGCTGTCATTCCCTCTGCAATCATGCGCACTCTCACACATGGCAAGGCACGGATGGGGGGAGAGAGGGACATGCGGGGGAAGGAACAGACGGGGGGAGGGACACACAAGAGGAGGGGCGCAGGGGGGGGGGGGAGGGACACATGAGGGGAGGGACAAACCGGGGGAGGGACACATGGGGGGGGAGGGACGGGGGGAGGGGCACATGGGGGAGGATGGACGGGGGGAGGGGCACACACTGAAAAGGGACCTCACACTGGCATGATGCAAGGTATGGCATCTGAGCAGCAGCATGGGGCTTCCACATACACTCACATGAAGCCAAAACAACGTGCTGTGGCATATTGCCATGCGCAGCACCCTCAAATGCTGCATATTCTTGAGTTTTATTGATAATCGTTTGTAACCATGCTGCACATGGTGAAAACCGAGTCTGCCACTGACTCACCTATGCTGCATTCCGAGCCTGCCACTCGTGCATTCCGAGCCTACCACTCACCTACGGTGCATTTCGAGCCTGCCACACACCTATGGTGCATTCCAAGCCTGCCACGCACCTATGATGCACTCCGAGCCTACCACTCACCTATGGTGCATTCCGAGCCTGAAGACAAAAACGCAAAAGGAACAAAACAACAAGCAATTCCCATCACCGCCTGCCCGCCCCTGCCTCATGTGCCAATCAAGGTAACTGTTACCTGGTAACCCCACCGTACCTCGTTCATCTGTGACGGGTCCATGAAGACCCCCCAAAAGAGCACCGCCACAAGCCCTTATAGACGTGCCGGCACCATAGGGAATGTTGGCCAACTTCTTTGAGGCGCCCCGTAGGTTACCTGGTAACCCTAACCCCACCATATCTCGTTCATCTGCGACAGGTCAATGGAGACGCCCCCACAGAGCGCCGCCACATGGCCTTCCAGTGACGTGCCAGCGCCACCATAGGAAATGACGACGACCATTGGAGGCACCTCAATTGTTACCTGGTAACCCTGCCATACATTCTCTCCACCATAGGAAATGACGACGACCATTGGAGGCACCTCAATTGTTACCTGGCACCTCTCTCCATTCTCCACTCTCCGCTCTGCATTTCACACAAATACGTCATCCAACTGCTCGTCCATGCCTCACCATTACCTGGTAACCCTATCATACCTCGTTCATCTGCGACAGGTCAATGGAAACTCCCCCTACAGAGCGCCGCCACATGGCCTTCCAGAGATGAGCCAGCGCCATAGGGAATGACGGGCACGCGGGCGGCAGCGCACGCGGTTCCCAGCTGTTGCACTTGGTGAGTGGATCGTGCGAATGCAACCGCGTCTGGTGGCACAGCCTCGTGGTACGACTCGTCCCTACCGTGCTGCTCCAACACCTGTTGTTGGCATGGTGACATACGGAATAACGGGCATGCGGGAATGCACGCGGTTACCAGCTGTTGCACTCAGCGCATCTGATGGCACAGCCGCATGGTAGGACTCGTCCCTGCCATGCTGCTCCAACACCTGCTGCTGCCATGGTCACATAGGGAATGACACACGTAGATTCTCATCATTCAAGCATCCCCTGTATGCTCCCATTATTCAAGCATCCCACGTTTGCGTCGCCCACGATGGATCGCAGGCGACGAAGCAACGAGTCGTCCACTCGCCCGTACGACGTCCGTCGCACAGCGGGAACGTCGCAGATGCTCGACATCGCGGGGTTTCCGCCCGCGTTGATATTTCCGCATCGCACGTTAGCAGCACGAGACGCATCGGTTTCCGCAGAATCTGCAATCCCTCCCGACGACCGTCCTTGTTCGTCTGTTGCCGCTTCCCGGTCGTGACTCCCGTTCGCGATGTCGCTACTACTACTGTAACTCCGTTTCGCACAGTCGTAAATGTTACTCTTTCGCCAACTCGCTAAGGCGTCGCTATAGTCGCTTCTCCCAACAGCACACGGGCCGGTTCGGCGACTCCTCCTCGTAATGTCGTCAAGGTCGCGCCATAGAGATTCCCGCTGGTCGATTCTAAGAGAACCGGCGAAAAATAAGGAACTCGCTTATTTTTCCAGGAAGAAAGGATCTGATGACGGAGATTGAATCTGCGTGCGGCGCACTTAGGAGGAGATTGATGGCTGGTAGTGAGGCTGGGACTAGTAACGGCGATGCTTACGCCGGCGCGTTACAATAACCGCGGCGAAGCGCAACGAGCGGAACATGGGATCATGACTTGCTAGGTAGGTACGAAGGACTCGATATGCAGAGGGCTTAAAGCTCAAGGCCCAAATTGCGGGCCGCGCTGGGCAAGATTACTAATCTTGCTGAGCGGCTGTTTGGGTGCTGTGAGCTGGCGAATTTCGGGTTACACTAGGTACGAATGAATCTGATTGGTCGAGACCAAAGTCACCGCGCAAACTTCATGTTTCAGTATTTCTCAATCTGGGACTATGGGACCCAAACAGAATGTTTGGCCCAGAGTTTGCTGACTCAGCAAGTTTTGCGAGAGCTTGACGAAAAAAGCGAACCCCACTTTCTGTTCACCTCCCAAACCACCAGCCCAAACCCTTGCGCAAGATTACTAATCATGCGCAATTTGGGTCTTGAGCTTTAAGGCGCTGTTCTGCAGGCGTTGGGGTTGTTCGCCAGCACTTTTAACAACAAATATGACGGGATCAGGAAAGTCAGCCTCGGCTTCCTGATCCCGTCCGTCAGAGCTCGTTAGGGTCCGTCAGGCAGGTCAGCCCGCGAAATTCTTGCCGAACCTATGATTCCGTCCGAACCAAACGGAATCATGTTGGCCTGTCGAACGCCCTCTTTTTCATTCAGTTCGAATGGAATCGTGAGGTTAGGAAAGTGGTTTGGGAGCTTCCTCTACGGGCAAACGCAAATCCCGTCGCCATTCTGGCGGTGTTCACCAGGAACTTTGAAAACGGACGGCATTTTGGCGGCATCGGCATGATGACCGCATCCGGAACCGGGGTCGAAATCCCCCCAAAGAGGTCTGGGCGTTATGCGGTCCGCGAAACTTCAACTCCCAAAACGGGAAATTTCGCAACCGCATATGGAACCCCCAGCCCCACCTTCCGCAGTTCCCCTCTGACGTGCAATGCCACAGCCATGCCATCGCCATTCACCGTGGATAGGTGAATGGTGATGGCATCGCTGGGGGATAGTTTTTGCCAGGGGAGGAAACTGCGACCCCGTTTCCATATGCGGTCAAGCATTTCGAGATGGGTGAAAATTGGGGGCGTTCGCCACGCCCTCACTTTTCTAAGAGGTTCGGACGGCATGAGAGGCTCGGCAGCATTTTTACGGGCTGACCAGGCTGACGGAGGTTAACGAACCCTAACTGACGGGATCAGGAAGGCGAGACTTGCCTTCCTTATCCCGTCGCCCCTCGTTTTTGCTTAGAAAAGTGCTGGCGAACACCGCCTCTATCGCCATTCACCTCCCCTAGCAGAATTGCCTTGGGATTGGAGGTGTGTAGAGGGTGGGGACGGGGATTGGAAGGTGGAGAGGGTGGTTCCTGATCCCGTCGCCACCCTCCCCCTTTCTGACGCGAAATTTCGCGATTTGGCCTTGCCCCCACACCTATTCGAAAGGTTCCTCCTCTGGTTCCTGATCCCACGGCCATTCCGTGCCCTTCATTTTTTTAGATGTGCTGGCGAACACCGCCGTTATTGGTTCCGCATAAATTTTGCGGGCAGGGCCTTCCGCGTGGTTTCACTGCGTAGAAGTCCAGCACCATCCCATCCGCACCTTCGCAATTTGGGTATCGTTGGCCCTGTTCGGTAGCCTCCCAGTCGCACTGGGCCCACTTGAACTGGAGAAGCGTCCGAGATGTTGCTTAGCCTCGGGCTTCCACTCAGATTGGAAAGAAGTTTCGAGTTCAGTTTGAGATAGTTTCCTGGAAACATGTAGTAAATTTCTTGATACGAATGTGGTTCTGTACCACACTGACCAAAAAACAAAACGTACTTGCCCGTCGCACGGATACCCTGCTAAACAAAGACGAAAATAAAAGCATCACATGCTGTGCGCCACCTCTTTTTGGTTCAAGAAGGTAAGAGCTTATTCTTCGGCCCGAAGTTGTCTAAACTAAAGTTAACCCAAAACTGTGCCACTTAGAGTGGCCCTCGCGGAGTGTAACTGAAACCCAAAACTGGGAGCCACTTCCACTGCGAGTCCAGTTTGCCCGGGAAGGAAGATTTCCGTGCAGTTTCGGTGCCCGCAGTCAGATTTGGCTTTTGAAGCGTTCGATAGCCAAGTCACACTGGGCAGGTTCGGTGTTCCAATATCGAGTCAGTGGGCTTCAATAATGCCCTCGGAACCTGCATTCCACCAACCGCACTATGAGTGGGGTGTCTACCGAACAGGGCCGTTCTGTTGCCACATGAGCTATTTGGGCCTTCTGCACAAGCACTGCGGGATGGGCTTTCCTCGAAGGGGTCAACCCTCCCGCAGCCTCGGCGAAGTTTGCTGATAACGACAAAACGGGGTTTGCCAACAGCCCATGTTTTTTCCGGTCACCATGCCCAGTCTGCCCAGGGTGATCAAAATGTTTCATCCCAGCCACTCACAAATTTCCGGCCTTTGGGTTTGCCCTTGCCTCTCGTTTGGTATGTTTTTGTAATGAGTTATTTCATCGCACAATTTCCCAAAATCGGGCGTTCAGATCTGCCCGTTTTTTGTTGTGCGTCCCCTTATTCTACCTCGGATGGGCGGATAGGGTTCGCACGAGCGGTGCCTCCAATTTGCCCGTGATAGAAGCTTCGAAGTAATGTCCGAACGCACTAGCTGTGATGCGTTCTTCAACCCTTGGGCGCACAAGAAAAGCGACCAGGCTCGGTACACAATAACGAGTTGGGAGGCTCGACGTGGACATTAAGCCTTTCTCAGCGCATTCCTAGAATTTTCGTCAGGGGAGCCAAGCACCCCTAATGCGGCAACAGAACGATACCTTGGCGAACGTTCATATTTCAGAGGCTAGTACTGCCCCGCATAACTTGTGCGGAGGCTGATACTGAC